CTTAGAACTCATCTATACAACAGTGAGAAAAAGAATGAGCAAAAAAACCAATCTTATTTTAAATCGGAGAAACACTAAAGACACAGAGATATTTTCTTTTCCCCTCATTACCTCCATTACCTCTTGTCCAGTCTTCCAGGTGTTATCTGTTTTATCTCTCATAACATTAGTTTAGCAGTTTTAAGTTAGTTGGAATTCAAAGATTTAAATGCAAATTTTACTATATGGAGGGTCTGCTGAACTCTCAGTCCAGTTTTCTCTTGCCTTGAGAACACGGCAGCTGGCTGCTCAGCTGCTCTCTCTGCTGAATGCCCTTTTTGGGTGAGTAATTAAGTAAGGCAGAAGCTCTTTAAATGAACCAAATGACTGCATGGGTTTGTAATTCTACCTGTGATATTTTAAAAGGAAGAAAAATGTGAGGATAATTCCCATTTCTTACAAATATTTGTGCCCTATGTTATGGCTGAAGTTGCTGAGCAGCTCTGTTGCTGGTGCTTTAATTTTTCCAAAGCAGCTCAACGGTGGGGAGGGGTGTGTGTCTGTAATTTTCCTGGCCATCTGCAAACCAGTCCAATGCCCTTTCCTTGGGGTTCAGAAGGGGCACAGATACATGTAAAAAGTTGTCACCTCTGTGTGTCACACAGCTAGCTATTTTCTGGAGCTGCCTAAGCTGTGCCAGGGAGCTCTTCCCCACTGCTTTGGGCACAGCTTGGAGCACTGGCTGAGCCACCTGGCAGCTCACTGCCTCTGAACGCTACCACCTCGCGCCTGCCCTTCCTTGCTCCCCTGCCTGGCTCCAGCAGTTTTGTCTAGCTCATTAAATGGGTGGAGCAGGATTCCAACACAGTGTCATGTTTGCTGGGGGCAAGCTGGAATGCACGGACAGGAGAGAGGGACATGACTGCCCTTTCCAGCTTGTTGCCCACCTGCGGCCTCTGTGTATCTAACCAAGTCATGAGACACAATGAGCAGAGCTGGCAAAACCAGGCTGCATCGCACGAATTACAGAAAAAGAGAGAAGGCTTCTGTTCAGGCCATCTGCAAATTGGTATATCCTGCATATTGAGTCCTAATTTCAGTTACAGCTTTTGGAAGTTTCCTGCAGAAATGTAGATGTTTACAAAAGAAATAACCTCAAAGAATGTTTCATATCTGTATACCATTTTTCTGTTCAAGGTGTTCTTTTGCAGGCTGCTCTGGTATCTTAGCAGGACAGCACAAGCATTCCGGACTATTAAGAAAAAGACATCCAATAACGAGGTCAAGTGAGGATGCTTGTCAAGACGAAAGGAACGGTTTTCATTGGCATAAAAAAAGCACCAAAAAATGAATAATACATAGTGACAAAAGGAGCCAATCACAAGTAATTCTGTGGTCCCACCTGAAAAAACCTTCCATGGGGTTGGTGGTCTCTCCTTTGTGACACATTGCTTTCCAGAGACAAGAGCACAATACCATTCTAGAGAATGTCATGAAGCACCTGAGGTTTTGCTCTCCACCATCACTACATTAAGTCTGCTTACTGCAGAAGTGGGTGAGCCCCTCAGGCTGGGTGCTTCCTGGCGGGCATGCCTCGGATGGCGAGCGGCCGGTCGCCACGCCAGAGCTCGCCCTCTTCCCAGACAAGCGAGGGCCTTGGCGGCAGACACAGCCCGTGCTCCAGCTTCACTCTCAGGGCTCAGCAGCAGTGTTCCCACTAACCTGCCAGACTGCTGGCTGGCATGGAAGGCAGGTATAAAACCTTCCTCCACCCCAGAAATCAGGGTCCCCTTGACCTCTGTGTGAGCATCCTCCTGCACCAGCACCTCTGTCTTCTCTCAGGGGCTCCAGCTGCCAGGAGGTCCTGCCTAAGATTCATGTGCTTTTTTCAGGAGGTAAACTGTTGTGCTTGAGCAACCAGGAGTGATCTGAAGTACAGCCGGTATCACTTGGCATTTCACAGTTATAGGTCTCTAAAAAAAACCAGCAAACAACAAAACACAAAACAAACTACTCTATTTGTGCTCAAGTCCACCAGAAATCAAAACCTCCTCAGCAACAGCAGCTCAAGGGGTACAGACAGCTGGAGGAGAGCCAGGCATGCCTCCTTGGCTGCTATGGTCCATTTGCCACAGGCTTCTAGAAGCATATTTTGTGGGAGCTTTTCCCACTGCAACCTTCGGAGCCTTCAGACAGACAATAAAAAAAAGCAAACGAGAGACACAGTACTTTGAGTGAGGACAGTGATGGAGAGAAGTAAAACTGCCAGGGGCAAAGTGAAGCAGCAGAGGAGGAGATGAGACCTGTGCCTGCACTTCCCGACTTAGCAAGTGCAAAGCTTTGCACAGATCCACAAAATGAAGCCACACTGTCCATAAGGATACTGGTGCACTGCCTGCTTGGAGCAGAGCAATGGGGCTGCGGGCCATCACAGCAACACCTACCCTCTGGACTGAGACAGCCAGCCAAAGCCCCATGTCAGGTTTTCTTTTACTCCTAGAGAAAAATTCACCAGGAGTGGAAGTTAATGCACAACAGCTCCTTCTAGGGAGACCAAACTGCTTTCACATGATGATGATGAATCCGTTGGTGAAAGCGAGTGGGCTTTTTGATCTACTGAAAAGTGAAAGGCAGCATCCCCAAACCGCTCTGAAGAATAATGTCACGCAGGAAGTTTAACAGCTTGTGCCTCTTTTAATGGAAATACCACATAGTTATACACATATACACAGTAAAGTACAAAGGGTTAGAAAACAGGCTTCATTTTCAGCCCCTAATTCTAACATGCTGCACACTAATCCCTGAGAGCACCTGTCTGTTTTATGTCTCCTGCAAGTGATAGTAAGAGTGCAAATTCAAGTGCTCACCTGCAGCACAGGTTGCTTTGCAGATACTGAATCTGAATTCTAACTCTTCAGTATGCTGGGTTGGCATAAATAAAAATTAATAGTTAAACTGTTCAGTCCAGTGTACCAGTTCAAAATCCATCCTGATATCTTTGCCATAGACAGCTAAAAGATTGTCTTCCTACTCTCCAAAGAAATGAGTTCAGCTTATATTCTGTTCACACCAAATCCATTTGCAAAATGGGTGCCTATGAATTGCACTGCCCTGATGTACTTGCAGACTAAAATCCTCTTTATATTCATAGGGCTGGGGAAGTTTATTAGCAGGGTGTATATTCCTCCAACTCTGACCTTGGAGTCTATCCAGCAATGCAATCTAGCCAGCACAGCTACTCCAGTAAGAGGTACAGAGAACACGCTCTGTGAAAAACCCTTCTTTCCCATATCTGCCACAACCTCTGTCAAGCCCTGACCCCGCGGACACTAGCTAGCAATACCAGTCTGGGTGCTAGTTTTCAATCAACTAAATTTATTTCTCCCTTGACACACACACAGTTTCATTGCAAGTTCAGTAAGACCATGGCCAGACTTTGTGCTGTGGGACTAAAGGATGGAAGAGTTTTCCCCTCTCTTTAACTAAGTGGAGAAGCTGGTGACAGCAGAAGCTGGGATCTAGGAGAGCAACACCATCAGGAGGACACACCACAGCACATTTCATTTCAAACAAAGCCTGAGCAAAACCAGCCTGAGCATGTGCTGTGTGACTTGCTGTTTTCATTTGACCTCTGCTTTTACAAATGTGGTCTTTCTTCAGCAAGCAGCAGGCTTATAGCCCTTTCTTGTCAGAATTTGCCAGGGTTTGGCATGCCATTCAGACTGACTGCTGGTAAAACCAAATAAAGCCTTAACGTGGACCACGAGAACCTACAGCAACCTGCAGGAACTTCTACCTTGAGATGCACTTATATACTGGAGAAGGTTTTCTCCCAGTGTTGAGAAAGAGGGATGAGGTACTGCCCTCTCCAGGCACCCAAAGGCATACAACCAAAGCTCACAATGACATCTAGCCACAGGTTCCAAACATCAGTGGCCGAGCTGCCTGATACTGCATCTCTGCCTGGATATTCACAGCATATGGTTGGACTTGATACCTGGGAAAATTGCTTGAATTTCCAGAAGCTGCATAATTTTCCTGTCCTGGCTATAATGTGGAAAGGTTCACCTGGAAAAAAAAAACCTGGAGGGTTATTTTAAGAGGAACTTAAATAGCAACCTAAAAAACCCCCACTTGTAACTCACCATCTCCCTTATTTCACAGTTAAATACAGTGACAAAAAAATTCCCTGAGACTAAAGAGGAGACGATAGATAGTGGATACAGGGAAACAATGGGGGAGGCAAATCTTAGGTGATGATGTCATTAAAAAATTAGCTCAGCTTCTCTGTTGCTTCAAAGAAATCAGTCCTTGCCCCTGATTTATACCTGCAGAGGATGAGAATACCTCAACTACAGAAATATTTCATATGCGGCCCTTTTTATATTCAGCAGAACAAACAATAGCATTAAGAACTGCATCCGTACAGACTGTGTAGAGGTGTACACTTTAATACCTATCCTGTCTTAACCTTTGATTACTGGAATTAAAATAAAGTGCTTAGTATATTCCAAACAACTGTAGACGTGGATTTTCATTGCCCACCGAATCTGTGGTGTATTTTAAACTTTTTATTATTACTATAAAACCTTGCAGTATGACTACCTAAGCAAGGAGAGAGAGGAATGTCTAGTGTCAAAAGCACAACTCCTTACTTTTGTCCATTACAAAATGAACAAACACAATATACGACCTTTTCACACACTGTTTTTCAAGCTGTTTCTCAGTCATTCACCTGGAACTGGAAAAAAAGTTAAACCACAAAAGGACCGCACCATTTAAGGACTGCACCATCCTGCAACAGCAGACAGGCAAACTTAGTAAATCTTCCACCTCAAATACCTTCCTGCTCCACCATCAGACACTGGGGCATAGCCCTCACCCTGCTTCTGCACCTTAAAGGCCATCATTCAGTATTCCAGCTCCGAGAGCAGAGGGAATGCGCAAAGGCATTCAGCCTGTTATCTTGCTCAGATAACAAGACTAAAGGCTTTATAACCTTTTAAGCAGCTGCCTTTAAGTCAGGTCCTGCATCTGGCAGGAGACACCTGCCTCTGCTTTTGGGCCTCTGCTGCTTTTTTTTTGTCTTGTTCCTCTGCCTTCTTCCGTTCCTCTTTTATCTCCTTGTACCTCCACTTGGGAATCTGCAAATAGGGGTCATCCTTGGCACTGCTCCTCCTCCTCGCCTTTTCTGGCTGGAAGGTAGGTGGAGGAGCCTTGCTGATACGGACCTTGGGGATGACAAAGCCCGGCCTGACGCTGCTCCGCCTGAGCAAGTGGAGCGGCAAGAGGCTTGCTTTCCTGGTGGCTATGGTGTTCACGTGAGAGACCGCAAGGCTGACGGGCTGCAGGCTGGCTCGACGGTCCTTCTTCCTGGGGACCAGTGTGACTTTGGAGTTCTGAAACAGCTTCTCGTAGCTGCTCAAGTGATCTTTGTCCTGAGATCGGATCTCCTCGGCCCTCTGCTTCCTGATGATCTCTTGCACGGCCAGTCTGCGCTTTCCCACAGCAGGTGGGCTGCCTGGGCAAACAGTTCTGCATGACAGAGCAATGAAAGGACTGCCCAAGCTTGTTGTCACCTTCACCATATGGTCGAGGACCCCGCCTTCTTCTGGGCCGTAGAAAGACCGGAATGACACAGCTGACCTCATGCACTCAGAGAACCTCTGCAAACAGCTTTTTGGCTCTGCAGCCTTGGCAAGAAGTTCCTTCATCTTTGGCCATTCTGGTTTATACTGATCACAAAACTGTTCTGGGCATGGCCTGTCCATCAGCTTTTGCATGATGAAGGCAGATTCTGATCTTCCTGTGTAACAAGCCCATTCCCATGAGGTCAGTCCACGGCTTGGGTCAGTCGCATGAACATTTGCCCCTCAAACAAAAGAAAAACAATTACTGTTAATTAATGAAACTGCCAGCCCTTTTGTTGCTATGATCAGAGTTGGATCAGGCAGATCCTTGCAGGAAAATATCACGTACAACGCACAATAATACTTGTGTCAAAATGAACATGTGATAAGGAGAGATCAGGTTCCTGACTTTCTGAATGCCTGATGTCTTTTTAAAAGTAATAAATGAAATTAAGGCTGTATATATGAAATTCTCTTAAAACATTGCAAAGAATGGCATAATGAATATCAACTGCATGGAATGTTGCCTGCCATTTTAAAATCCATTCAGTTGAGCCTGCAAGAAAAGAGTGATGAATATGGAAAGAAACAAGTCTGTACACACAAAAAAATCTTCCCATACGGAAGTTTTTGCACCCAAAAACTAGCTTTGTGTAATCAATCAAAAAGAATCTCAGAGACTTGTCATGCCAGCATCATACCCTGTGCACTGCACCCAAGTGATCCTGGACATGCCACCTGGGCACACACATTTTGATGTTTTGGAGCATATGTGTATGTAGGCGAATGACTGAAAACAATATTTGGCTGACACGCTGGAGGGAAGGGA